ATTTTTAAACCAATTTTTAGAAAAGTTAATAGAATTTATTTTTAGATATAAAATTATGAAAATATATATCTAGAGAAAAGTCTACAAAATTTAAAGTAGACTAATTACATTAACGGATATTTATTTAAATCATCAAATATTAAAAATTAGACGTTGAATAATGAAAAGGGGACAATAAAAATGAAAATATTAAAAAAATTAAATAACTCGAGAAAATAACAAATACTTACAAACATCAATATTTAAGGTAAAAGATGCATGCCTTCAACAATGACATAATATTCATTTAAAAAAAATAATAAAATACTAATAAATCATGATAGTACATTGACAATTGGTTTTATCACAACTCAATCATGACATATATGGAATTTAAGGAAAAATCAATATGAAATAACAAATTTGGAAGTTGAAAATAAAGTATATCAATAAGATAATGAAAAAAACGTCAATTAAAGAGACAACGACAAATCTAATCTTGAAAAATATATTATAAAGATAAATGAAAACGTCACCATCTTTAAACAAAGAAATTTATGTATGTAAAATAGATCTGTAAAGCAAAACTTAGAGAAAAGATCAGAAAGAGGAAGAAAAGAAGACAATGGAAGGAATAAACAACTGACCCTTTGAACTAGTTGATCGAATTTTCGGTGGAGTGGCAAAGAATTTGATACCAAGTCTTTAGTTGATATATCTGGGAACTTATTTTGCAATATAGGGACTGAGAGCATAATTAAACCTTTTATGATATATCTGCAAGTTTTACAGCTCCCACATAAAAAAATGAAAGCTTTTCTTTGCCAGATAAGGAAAAGGATGGTTTTCTCAGGCAAGAAGGTGAAAGAATATTGCGTTGTAACAGACATTCAGTAATGGCCTGAAACTTGTAGCTGTCTAGGTTTTGCTTTAAACTACTTTGAGTACTTCTAATTGACTCTCCATCTAATCCCCTTTACTTTTGTCTGAAATTTTCTCAAGTTTCAAACACTTTATGGTGTGGTAAAATGTGCCATTTACAACAATTATGGAACTTGAGATCAAATCATTGTAAAGTATATAAACCATATTCCATTAATTTGGATCAAACCTAATTCGCTTTTACCATATAAATACTAACTCCCAAAAACAAAATGGCATAAACTCAAAAGGCTAACTTGAAATAACCCAAAATAACGTGAACCTCGTATAATCATGTTAAAATCGTAATAAATTCTTATATAAAATTTAATCTATTAAGATCAATCATGTCATGTCATCAAGAATAAATGTACATTAGTATAAATATTTTCAATTGAGTCTTAATCCGGCTGGCATTGTTTTTATTTTAAATTACACGAGGACATGATTTGAGCATGCTTAAACACACACTATCTTTCTATTTATGAATGGAGAAATATATGATAACTGAAAAATGAATTATAAGTTTTAAAATTATGACTCTCATTTTAAATTAATATTTAATTTTTACCATAAAATATGACTCTCATTAATTATATATATCTAACGATCCTAAAAAGATGTAAAACTAAAAATTTTACATTATGTGTGATTGGATCATATCCCATATATATAATTACATAAAAAAAGGTTTAAATTGAAGCATACTCGGGTTGAACTGTCTTTTAAGCAATCACTATGAGATGAGAATTAAGACAATTTCAGTTGCTCCACTGTCATCTTAGACAGCCCAAAATAAACTCTTATTCCTTCATTTATTTTCCGTAGAAAACACCCCGTACAGAAAATGATACAATTCAAGTGCCTCTCGCTCTCCCTGTTTTGTCAAGAATACGACCAATAACCCTGTCCCTGTCCCTCTCCTCATTTTGGATTGTCTTTAAATGTATGATATCCCCCTTTGCCTTCCCAGCTCAGAAACTATATCTCCTATCTTCACCCCCAACTTACCATTATACCCTTCCCTTATCCTCCCTAGTTTAGTCCCAATCCTATCGATTGGACAGGTTGGATTGATTTTAGGTCATATAATTTAGATCATGTTATTTCAAGTTATAGTCATTCGAGTTTGAGGTTTGATTTTTCCTATTTTAGGGCGTCACGTGTTTTTTTATCAGTTTTGGTTCAAGTTATTTTAAATTCATGTTAGATGAGTTGAGATTGTTAATTTTTTTATTATTAAAGTTATATTTGATTATTTCAAGTTTAAACTTAATGGGTTGAGATTACAAATTTTTTATTTTTAAATTCAGATGGATTAAATTGGAATATCTAGAGTAAGGTTAAAATTGAGTGTTCGCCATTAATGACATCCTCATTTAAAATATTATCAATGTTAGTATGTAACTTATGCATATTACATAAACTAATAGCAGAGTTGGACTGTATTTAACAATAATTGTATAGATTGTGATCAAAATTTTAAAATTTAAAAAATAAATTTGAATATATGGATTAAACCCACAACTTTCACATAATATAGGGACTATTGACAAAAATAATTCACAAATTTGAAGTTGAATTCTTTCATGATTGTGAAATGACTGAGAGCACTGGCTTATGAACAAAAAGTACATGAACAGTATCAGAAACTATGTGATGATAGCCTTTAAGCATGGGGTCACAGTAAAAATACCATTGAAAACCAAGTTGAATTCAGAGCACAACAACAATGAAATAAAACAGTAAAAAAGAATTCCTTTCTGCAAATTTCACAGCTTTAGGTTCTAGCAATGGCGGGTGATTTTTTGTTGTAGGGTTCTTAAAAAAAAGATATTGGTTGAATTAAAGTATCGTCATAATTATTTCTCGAGATTATGTGAATATTATAGTAATTGGAGAGTTTTCAGGTACACAATGTGACTTTGACGTGTGACACGAGGACTATCATGTGATTTTGAACCACCATGCGACTTTTAATAAATTTGGTGGGTGGATGGAAGACGCACTGAAATTTCAAATGTAGAGAGGGTGCAAACGTAGATTTTGAATAAATGGATGGGGAGGGGGAAAGTCACACTGATTGTCGGGTGACTTTTTGGAGTCCATTGTATTCTCCGTAACTTTTGATGAGTATTATAACATTCACATTAAATCATAATTTTTTTTTGATAAAACCTTATTACAACCAATAATTTTTACTTTTTGGAGTCACATTGTATTCTCCGTAACTTTCAATGGGTATTGTAGCATTCACATTAAATCATAAAATACTTTTGATAAAACCGTATTTCAATCAATAATTTTTTTCACAAGAGAGATGTTTTCCAAAACCCGAAACCAACTTTGTAGGCAATGGGTCAACGTAACAGACGGAATTGAGAGCAATAAAATATTCACCAGGAAGATATCTAGTTACATCTGCTGTAATTATTGTTGTTTTTTTTACTGTTCTGATCTTTTACAGCGACGTATCATTTGTCTTCTGTTTTTTGTTTTTTTACAATAGAACAATGGTATTTTTGCCCTATAATAACATTTATTATCTCTTGATTGTATCTTAACTTGATTAATATAGTTGTTATTATAATATTTAAGAAGATATAAATTCAGACGTATTTAAGCATGTATTATGCTCTTAATTAAATTAATTCAAGTTTTGTACACTCTAACATAATTGGATTTTTCACGAATGGTCATTTTTAGTATTTTTTTTCTTTTTTTACCACTATACTTTGAAAAGCTATGTTTTCATCATAAATGTTGTCATATTATTGCATTTTGACCACTTATTTGTTAACTATCACTAAGGATGTAACAACAAGCTAATGTGACGAGTTTAATTGATCACCCAATTACTCACCTAATTACCACATTCATGACCCTAAAAAGGTTAATGATGATTTTAAAAATTCTAAAATTCTTTTTATTCCTCACGAACCAAAAAAACTCATCGTTGGCGCCGACGAGCCTCCTCTCTGATTGATATGGATACCGATTAACTTTTCTTTTTCTCTTTCACTTTATTATATTAATTTTCTCTAAAAAAATCTTAAAAGACATGAAATCATATTTGTTTTTCGTTGTTCAATTAACATGTATTTTTTAAGCATGGTGGAGGGATGGGATTTTAGCGTTTGTCTAATATGCAATTTAATGAAAATAATTAAATACGTTAATAATTTAGACTAACTAAAAGTAGGAAGAACAAATTATATCAAATTAAATATAAGAACAAGAGACCGAATTTTAGAAAAATAGAGGGATCAAAATCATGAATAAGATATTTATATAAAAAATAATGAAATTCTTTTTATATTGCATGATCGTATCATTTATTTACTAGGGTTCAAAGAAAGGAGGTTTGAAAAAGTTAAAACAGGTGCAGAGAATTAGATATAAAAAAAAGTTAAAAAATAAGCAATGTAAAAAATCAAAGGCTTCACGAGATTGTCAGAAGCTGAGGTCCATAAGGCATCTTTCCTCAATAAATTGATAAATTCAAGCTTTTATTCAATTACTTTATTATTAAAAACAACTTTTTTTTAGGAATCAGGATTGATTCTTCAAGCCACAATGCTCATTGTTATAATTCTATTTCCAATAAAATTTCAATGGAAGATTTGTCAAAAAATAATATATGTTATGAATTTATGTTTACTTCAAGAACTGACATAAATATACATAATTGAATATACTAGATTACTATTTAAATTTAAATCAAAATATATTTTATTTAAAGTTTAGAAATTAAATTAAAAATGAATTATTTTTAGCGATTCATGTTATTAATGTTATATGAATTAACATGACAATGATTAAAATCGATAACGTAAATAAATCAAAATGTAATATTTTAGATGTTGGGTGACCTATAAAACAAAAGAAAATCAAATAAAAGTGACATTGGTTGTAGATTAGCCTTACTAATAATATATATTTTTGAGGACATCTGAATCTTTAAGCGGCATGTTTTTGTCATGTAATGCAGTTTCTCACGATGCCAAGGCAGTAGTTTTATAATTTTATTCCCTTTTTGAATTTCAAATAGCACCAAGTATGAACACCCTGACTCCATCATCTTCCAGTTCCACAATTGAATAAATATTCCATCCTTCAATCTCCACTTTTCACCACCATGGAAACTTCCCAAAGCTCTCTTCTCATTCTCATGCACTGAGAAAAATAAACAATGGGAAAAGCTACAAGGTGGCTGAAGAGCTTGTTCGGGATAAAGAACTCGAATTCCGGTGAACGGAAAGAAAAGAAACGGTGTAACATCGGCCATTCAGGGCGGGACTCGAGCGGCGGATTATGTCACGACCCTACAACGATCCCACCTAATATGTCGCCGGCCGAGGTTGTGTGGCTAAGGTCGTTGTACAATGAAACGGAGAAAGAGCAGAGTAAGCAAGCAATTGCGGTGGCGGCCGCCACGGCAGCTGCAGCAGATGCGGCTGTGGCTGCTGCTCAGGCGGCAGTGGCGGTGGTGAGGCTGACGAGTCATGGCAGAGGGACCATGTTTGGCGGTGGACATGAAAAATGGGCTACTGTTAAGATTCAGACCGTCTTCAGAGGGTATCTGGTATGCATATAGTCTTTCTATATGATTAAACATTAACATTATTAAAGGCTATTTTATTCGTTTGGAACCAGGCTCGAAAAGCATTACGAGCCCTGAAAGGATTAGTGAAGATTCAAGCCCTTGTTAGAGGATATTTAGTGAGAAAACAAGCTTCAGCTACACTACAAGGCATGCAGGCACTGATAAGAGCTCAAGCTACAGTCAGGTCCCAAAGAGCTCGGAAATCAATGGTACAAAATGCATCAACTTTAATTTTAGTTTTTTCCCAATTCTCTTTTACTCGAAAACAAAATGTTTTCATTTTCCATTTTGTAGGAGAGATTTGATGATACAACAAGTGAACATTCTGTTTCTTTCCATAGTAGAAGATTCTCAGCTTCTCTTGATACTTCATTTAACATTGAAGGAAGTCCCAAAATTGTGGAGGTCGATACAGGCAGGTCGAAATCGAGATCCCTAAAGACCAACACTACCGTATCGGATTTCAGCGACGATGTCCCGTTGTCTTCTCCATTTTCTGCTCGAGTTCCGACCCGTTCATCAGTGCCGTTTCAAGAGACCGATTGGGGATTAACCGGAGACGAATGCAGGTTCTCGACCGCACAAAGTACGCCTCGGTTAGCCCCGGTTACTCCAGCCAAGAGCGTGTGTGCCGATAACTTTTTCGCACACTACGGGAACTTCTTCCCTAATTACATGGCGAATACAAAATCGTTCAAGGCTAAGTTGAGGTCACATAGTGCCCCGAAACAACGGCCGGAACCGGGGCCTAAGAAGCGGCTTTCGCTCAACGAAATGCTGGAATCTAGATGTAGTTTGAGTGGTGTTAGGATGCAGAGATCATGCTCACAAGCTCAAGAAGCTATCAGTTTCAAGAATGCAGTGATGGGGAAGCTTGACAGATCCTCGTATGATTTGGCAAAAGATCTTGAGAGCAACTGTTTGCAGAGGAAATGGTGATGCTGTAATTCAAATCTTATTGTTATCTCAAGGAATTTGCCTTGTTGTCGATGAAATGAAATTGCAATTGTTGAATGAGTGGTTCTTCTACAGCATGTAGCTAATTTAATTTTGGTCAGAGATACTATTTTTTAGAAAGTTATATTAAAGTTAGAAAAAAAATGAAATTATAGAATTTCGGTAAATATTAAATTAAATCATTAATATAAAATATTAAAAAAATTTAAAGGTGCAGACTATCCTCACACTCTCTCTATCTATCTCTCGCATGGTCTCTTTTCAATTTACTTAATTCTCCAGATTCTTCAAATTATGATTTCTTTCAGTAAATTGAAAGGTATAATTCTGGTTTTTATCCTTTTATCATAATAAAATTTGGGATTTAAATGACTACTTTATGTTAGCACAATCTGTTTCCTCCACGTTCTAAATTGATAACTATTAATTTTCTTCATTAAAGTGATAATATAAAATTCGTTTTTATTATTATTTGGTCATACAAAATATAAGAAATATGAAATTATAAAATTTCAGTAGATATTAAATAAAATTATTAATATAAAATATAAATGACATTTAAATTATTTAAAAACTTTAAAGATGCATACTATCCTAATACTCTCTCTATCCATCTCTCCGCATGCTCTCTTTTCAATAATATACAGCCGATAATAAAATTTGATTTAATTCAGATGATCATAATTCTGAAATTTATAAATTATTAAGCTTCAAAATATTATATTTTGATTGATTTAATCTCTTTACTCAATGGTTTCTTCTCATGGTCCCTAAACGCAGCACTAGGCTCTCAGCATACTGGGAACAATAGCTGCTTCTAGTTACCTAGCTTTTGGCATAGTCAAGCAATTGGGTTCTTTCTTTGGTCGTGAAAATTAATTTTTCTAGTTATATTTTATAATAATATCATTTTTCAGTATTTAGATTTATTTATTTTTTAAAAAGAATATAATGTTGCGGAGTACGACCATCGGATAGAGTAAAATTGCAACTGATAATTTGAGAAAATAAAAATGAAGATAAAGAAAACACAAATTTTACGTAGAAAATCCCTAAATAATATAGGGTAAAAACCACGGGCAAAGATAAAAGAATTTAACTATGAGAAAATATGAATTACAACTTCTCTCGATCTAACAAGGAGAAAACAATAACAATTCTCTCTTGATAAAAAGGAGAAAACAACTCTCAATAAAACTATCTAAATTCTCTAGTATTTGGAGAAAGCTAGAATGATGTGGGATGATTTTGAAGCTAAATGCGTTAGGGTATTTATAGTTGAAGCTTAAAGACTAATCTTGTAAATACCCTAAAGTACAAGACTAATTGAAGAATTTTACTATCCCACTTTTTTCAACATTTTCGGTGCAACTTTTGACCAATGCACAAATCCATTAGGTGCATTAATACACCGATTTTATTTTTGACTTTCAACAATCTCCCACTTGAAGATTTGATTGTTCCTTGAAGATTTGATTGGAACAATCATATCTTCACACCATTCTTTCTACATTGTACCTTCATGTTGCTTATGTTTCTGATAGGCCACAAGAGGATCGACACTAAGTAAATTTATCAGCATTGATCGCCTTCGTCATGAAATTTGCTATGTTATCTTTGGTATGTATCTTCTGCATATCTACCGTTCCTTCTTCCACCTTTTCAAAATGAAATGGTACTGAACTCGTATGTGCTTTGTCCTTGAATGAAATGATGGATTCCTTGCTAGATGCAAGGCGCTTTGACTGTCACAAGACATAGAGACATACTCTTGATTTTGCCCAAGCTCCTCCAATAACATCTTCAACCAAATTGCTTCTTTACTGGCTTGTGTAGCTGTTACATATTCTACTTCTGTTGTAGATGTAGCCACAACTGACTGTAATTTTGAAACCCAACTTACAGCTCCACCAGCAACTTTGAATACATATCATGTTGTAGATTTTCTTTTATCCAAATCCCTTGCATAGTCAGAATTGACATACCCATTGATAAGTAAGTTTGATCCTCCATAACATAATGCAACATTTGATGTCCCTTTGATGTATCTCAGGGTCCTCTTTACTATATTCCAATGCTCTTTGCCTGGATTCACCATGTATCGACTAACCACTCCCACTGCTTGTGCAATGTCTGGTCTTGTGCATATCATAGCGAACATTAAACTTCTCACTGCCGATGCATACGATACTCAAGACATCTCCATCCTCCCTTCTTCACTGCTAGGACTCATACTGGAGGATAATTTGAAGTTAATAGGAAGACGGGTAGAAATTAGCTTACAATCTTGCATGTTTAATCGTGACAAGATCTTCTTCAAGTAATTCTTTTGTGAAAGCCAAATCTTCCTATTACTTCTGTCTCGGTGAATTTGCATCCCTAGAATATTGTTTGCTGATACCAAATCCTTCATTTCAAATTCCCTAGCCAGTTGTGCCTTTAATTCTTCAATATGATCTTTGTTGGGTTCTGCAACCAACATGTCATCCACATACAACAACAATATAATAAAATCGTTATCACCAAACCTCTTGAAATAAGCACAAGGGTCTGCATTAAGTCTGTTGTATCCAAGACACATAATGAAGGAATCAAATCTCTTATACCAACTTCTTGGCGCCTTCTTTAGACAGTACATAGATTTGTTCAACCTGCAAACTAAGTTCTTCTTTTTTTTTTCTTCAAAACCTTCAGCCTGGAGCATGTAAATATCTTCTTCAAGATTTCCATGAATAAAAATTGTTTTAACATCTAACTGCTCTAGATGTAAGTTCAATGTGGCACACATTGCCAAGACTACTCGAACTGTTGTTAGTCGAACTACGGGAGAAAAGATATCATTGAAATCAATACCTTCTTTTTGAGCATATCATTTGACCACCAGTCTTGCACGATACCTTTCAACTTGATCATTACCATTTCGCTTGATTTTGAAGACCCATTTGTTACCAATTGACTTCCTTCATTGTGGTAGTGGCACAAGGTCCCATGTATTATTTTTATGAATGGCTTCAATTTCTTCTTGCATCGCCATCATCCATAGTGAAGCATATGAGCTGTTTATTGCCTCCTGGAATGTTGCTGGCTCACAATCCTCTGTTAAAAGGCAGTATGCAATATTTCCTTCTATAACATAATCTGAGTGCCAATTGGGACGTCTTTTCACACGATCTAATTGACGAGTTGTTGTAGCTTCAGAACTCTCTGGTTCTTGTTCATCATGTGTTGGTTCTGTTTCAGAAGAATCTCCTTGTTCAACCTCATTTTCCACATGTATCTGTGTAGTCTCTGACTTTTCAGCGCTATAATCGTCTTCTTTTCTTTGTAGTTTATCTTCTATAAAGATAACATCCATGTTGATGATCACTTTGCGGGCAGTGGGATCACACAAACGATACCCCTTTACTCCATCAATACAGTTTTAGTGAGATGATCCCATATCATTCTAGCTGTCTTCTTCTCCTCGATGTTTGACAATACTTCATCTGCTAATGCTAGATGAAAGTTTGCCATAGCATTCTCATCTATCTCGTTCCATTTGTTGTCATTTATGAAATCTATCGACCTTTCACTGATAGCTGCTAAACAAACCGTCTTTCCTCATGATGACTTTCATCTTCAATTTCCACAATGAGAAATTTCTCCCATTGAATTTTTTAATATCAAATTTCGTTGTCATAACTTCTATTACGGATAGTTCCCACTATTTCACTATCGTAAATAGTTATCTGGAACCTTAAAAGAATGAGTAATACATTCTTACTTTCTTATGTTGGAGGATCCACATTTTGGTGGCAACCACAAAGACAATAAGTAGATATTATACACTCTAATCTGACTCTGATACCAATTGTTACGGAATACAACCATTGGATAGAGCAAAATTACAACTGATAATTTGAGAAAATAAAAATGAAGACACAAATTTTACGTGGAAAATCCCTAAATAATATAGGGTAAAAACCACGGGTAAAGATAGAAGAATTTAACTATGAGAAAATAGGAATTATAACTTCTCTCGATCTAACAAGTAGAAAACAATAACAATTATCTCTTGATAAAAAGGAGAAAACAACTCTAAAAAAACTCTATAAATTTTCTAGTATTGGGAAAAAGCTAGAATGATTTGGGATGATTTTGAAGCTAAATAAGTTAGGATATTTATAGTTGAAGCTTAAGGACTAATCTTATAAATATCCTAAAGTACATAGACTAATTGAGGAATTTTACCACCCCACTTTTTTCAACATTTTCGATGCAGCTTTTAACCATTGCACCAAATCCATTCGGTGCATTAATGCATCGATTTTATTTTTGACTTTCAACATATAACATATTTTATCATTACTCTCGATATGAAAAGATTGTATTATAATCAGATTTGTTCAAGGATGGAGCAATTAGATCGAAATTTTTACAAACACTAATTTACTTTGTCGGTCGGTATGCATAAAAATAAAATTTGATGACTAAATCTATAATTTGATCCATTCAGAACCATCAATGAAACTAAGTGAAATAAATGGTTTGGCTTCCTCATCCGTAAGTTCCCTGGACGACGAAACCCTGCCGGGAAACTCGCTCCCGGCCCGGTGCAGTTGTACTGCCCGTAGAACACTGTCCTGTAAAAACAAAACAAGACCCAACCACATTGTTACGAATTCGAATTCTAAATTACTCGAAATTAAAGATAAAGGGGAAGATTATTACATTTCGCGGTTAGGGTCACCCCAATTATACCAGCCCTTAGGAAGGATGATGTTGTCCATGTAAGTGTAAGCAAAGTCTACCCTAGAGAAAGGACCCCACGCCCTCCCTAGGTACAGTCCCCCTGACCCCGACACCTTACACTTCACAAAAGAGAACCCCGTGTCATCTAAGATACTTCCTCTGTTTTGTGCTATTAATGCCCGTGTTAACCTTGCTGTTGCATGCACGTGACACCCCCGGAAAAATATTAGCACCGATTACGTTAAAGGATTCCTACGCATGAATCAATTAAATTAAGTTCGACTTAAATAGAGTTTGATGTTTGATTCGAATTCGATAGATTAGATTTTCTTTTTTTGAAATTTTAGTTCAAGTTGATTTTTTTAAGAATAAAGTCAGACTGAGTAGGAGTTTAGAGTGAAAAATATCCGATCGTATATAAAAATAATAATATAATTGATCTTTATATATTTAGAGATAATTGTTGTTGTAATACCTCTCTCTTTATATATATATATATATATTTATTTATTTATTTAGGTCATTGTTTTACCTAATAAAAATGAGAATTATATGTGTTTGTATGTGTCAGATTGATAGGAGTGTATATTTTTATCATAAATATAATATCGATTTTCAAATAAGATGAAGTTTCTCTAAATTCATATTTAGTAAAAAAAATAAGTAGAGAGATATTATACTCAAATTAGATTGACTAAAAGCTCGACCGAGACCATCTCTTGACCTAAATGCATGTTATTTTGTATGGATAATCATTGTTGAGCTATAGTTAAAAGGGCACTAATTGTGGGGGCAGGCAGTTCAAAAAGTATGTAAGGCGTGACAAAAGCAGATATGGTGAATTATTCCCTATACCAAGTGTGGTAAAATTTGCTAGTATATAAAAAAGATGAGGTGATAAGTTTGATATAATTCTGGAATGTCATGATTTAGCATCAATTATAGTGAAAATCATGATGAACAACGGATTCAATCGAATCTTAATTCGATGGTATCTTTTAGAATTTGTGAAATCGAATGTACTTAAACGTTAGAAACAAACCTCGAAAGGGAGAGAGCATTGCCAAAGATGAAATCCAGAGCCATCAATGTAACGCTCTTTATAGTAATGTCTACCAAAGTGATCATAGAGAGTGTCCTGAGCTCCGAGGAATCGACATCCGAAGAAAGTCGCCGTATCCGCCGATATTCTAAATGCCACGGCTTGCTTTCCAACTGCTCCCGGTGGTGGAACTGGTGCAGTGTTCTTAGAGAAACCGAGATGTTATTTTGCACTAAGAAGAAAAAGTGAAAGAAAGGGCAAAAATTAATAAAATTAACCAAGGTTTTTTTTAACCTTGAATGTAATGTTTTTGGCAATAAAATACGGGGAATTGACAGCAAAAGTTGCAGAACCATAGGTCCCCAAAGGTTGTCCATTTGGACCAGGTGTTTGAGCTGTGTCTCCCCATTGAACTATTGTTTTGTCTGCTCCTGCTCCTTGAATTGTTATGAAGGATTTCAATGCTGGAATGTTAACTTTTTCTCTGAACAAGTAGGAAAAATGTTACGATAATCGACAAGACAAGCACGAGCAGATCGAAAACAGGAACATTTAAGATTGTATTATCAGTAGTTAGTTACGAGTAAACCCCTGCATGGACCTTGATAACCACTCTGACAAGGTTAATGAAAGGCAGGGAATCAATGGCATCCTGAATCTTGGTGAAGTCTCCGGCCGCTGGATTCTTGTCAACGGTGATTTTATAAGACGGGAAAAACTTATTCTTCGCCGTCCTGAAAATCAAGTGTTTAAGGCTACCGACGAATTTGACCCATTGCATGAAAGGCTGTTCCGAGAGACAGACTCCGGTCGTGTTCGACTGCTTGTGATGCTTCCCTCTATGGCTTCTCAGCTTGATCCCTTTGGTATGACACAATGCCTGACCTGAATTTAAGACAAGAATCAAGATGAAAAAGTGAACAAGTCGTAAAAACTTGGACATTTTTAAGAATGAAGTGGAACCAAACATTTATGTAGCAACTGACCATTAAGGTTTATATATGAACAAGTTTAGGTGGGGGGAAAAAGAAACTAGAAAGTGATGGTGGTGTTGTTTAATTAGAGAATCAATGACAGATAAAGTGAGAGTTCACGGGTGCTTCAGCTGACAGGACACACAGAGAGAGAGAGAGAGAGAGAGAGAGAGAGAGAGAGAGAGAGAAGCAAACAATGTAGACCACAAAGACACAGCCAGGTCGAACTTTTTGTAATAATATAAGAATTTATATTTCTTGCTCCATGTTTATTGTTTGTTTGCTTTATTGCTTGCTATTAACGCCCGTGAATGGTCTCTCCTTGCTGTTTTTATACGAGAGGTGAATATATTCTTGGATTCAAGAGAGGTTGGGATTTGGGAATGTCTAAATCTCATTAGCTTAATTAAATGGGGTAAACCAACTTTCAATTCTTCAACTTCACTTTTTTTTCAATTTGGTTCCAAAAAAATTTTGTATGTCATTTTTTAAGTTTGATGAGTTTTCTCATTTTTTTAATCATTCTAATACCATAATATTGTTCAATGTGATTAGGGATGATCATGGTTAGATTGGTCAAGTTTTAGTTTACTTGAACTGGACTCGAGTATTACATTCTTTCACCTATTATTCGATTCGAATCAGGTTTAAAAAAGTTCAAACTGACCCGAAATTTGATATGATTTTTAGGAATGATCATGGTTGGATTAGGCCAAATTTTTAGTTCACTTGAACCGGACACAAGTATTACACCCCCTCCATATGTCATTTGATTCAATCTGGATTTATAAAGCTCCATCAACCCAAAATTTGACTCGGCTTTTAGGGTAAAAACTAACATTCGACACACACACATATATAATTTTTATTAGGTAACATAGTGACCTAATTAAGAAAATATAGAGAGATGATTATAATTGCAATTATTCATAAATATATAAAGTGCAATCATACAATTACTTCTGGATCTGATTGGGAATATTTTTCACCCTAAATCCAACTTGACCCAACCTTATCTTTAAATAACTCAATCCTATGTCGAGTCAAATGTACATCCATACATGAGGTAATCTTAAATAAAGTATCACATCTTCAAGAAGACTAAAATGAGTAAAAGAAATTCAAATTATAGGATTAATATGAATCAAAATAAAATTTAGACACCAAGTTGTGATTGAGTTTGTCTATGTGAAGTAAATTTCTACGGTATAATAAAAATTAATCAATTTTTCATCCCTAAACTTTGCAATATTTCTCATTTTAGTCTTTGAACCTTGTTTTGGTCTATATTAATCCCTAAACTTTTTAGTCTCCCAATTTATGACATATGGCACTATGATAGGATCATGTCGACAAAAAGACTAAAAATGGATTAAAATAAGTTGAGAGTTTAATGTGGACCAAAACAAAGTTCATGGATCAAATTTAAAAGTATTACCAAGTTCAAGGACTAAAAATTACTTTATCCTTAATAAAAAAAACCCCTCTCTCTCCTGTTTTTCTGATTTTACCTACCTTCCTATCATTAGATTATTGGTCTAAATAGAGCAATTTGGGTGGTTTAGATCAGCTTGTGAGTCACTTGCTGTAGTAAAACAAAATAAACTACTACCATTATTTACATTTTTCATAAATTTTATATAATTGATTGATATAATAATAAATTAATCCAAGAAAACAGCAAAGCTATTACAATCGACTATAAGGGTCCAAAACAATCAATGGACTACTGCAGAAAGCAGAATTTAGCTGATTTAATACAATGAGATTGCAATTGAGTCCTAATCATCTGCTTTAATCTAATTTTTTCACTTACAATTTAAATTCAGATTCTTTTTAAACAATGTAATATATTATCAGTTTATAATTGATGAAAAAGGGTATTTCTTTCTTCTTATTATTTTTAATTGAATAGGTTGGATTTATGTACTTTATATATTTTATTCGAAACCAGATTATGTGTACAAGAGAACGTTGCTAAGCGTAAACTAACCAAAATCCCAACTGTTCTAACCAACTACGAACAGCTTCACGAATGGTGCAGCACAATAACATCAACCTAGCAGACCCTGCACTCGTTGGAACCACAAGAAAAACAACTCTAACACTATCTATATTCATGACACACAAGCCCCTGCAGAACCTGAAAACACAAAGATGCTTGGATCGAAACAACAACTGCAAGATCCGGTTCGAGGATCGTTTTATCTTGTCTGAGCACATCGGCCAGACGTGTAATCTAGCCCCAGATATTGCAAGAAAAAGAATGGTAGCAAACCACTACATGTGAACATTGCGTTTGGCGTATTCTTGGCTAGCTCCTGCACAATTGGCTTACAAATCCCTTCTTTGGTCTGTCCATTTGCATTGCCTACAAATTCCACGCCATTTATGTTGATCAACTTGTACTACACCTCGATAACTTTGACCGCCTTCCGATGAGAATTCTAAATCAACCTCGACTGTTCGAAAACAGTCATGAAAGACACTGAAATTTAAAAACCATTGCAACAAAGCATAAAAAGTATCCCAAAGATTAATTTAAAGAAACTTACGGGAGATTCTTTTTCCTCGGAAATGTGATGCAATTCACCATCGTGAAATGTGGCATTCCTGAAGATATATTATATTAAAAAGAAACCAATGAAGCCATGAGATTTGATTCAAGAACCCATTTTTACTGAATAAAAGTGGGATCTTTGATCTAAAACTTAAATAAAATGAAGAAAAGAAAACAACTTACAAGTCGGAACAGAGAGAGCTTCAATGGTTTCTTCATCTTTTTCTGTGCAAATCAACAGACCAGAAGAGATTCGCAAGCAAATTGTGCAGGAGCTAACGACACACCAAGCGTTGTATCTCGTGCTAGAATACATGGACCCCGGATCTCTCGCCGATGTGTATGTTGTATTAAACTTTATTTTTATATTGTATTTATCTTGCGTCTTCAATTCAATTCATCTCGTTTTTTTATATTTATATAAAATAATTAAAAAATTAAATTGATTCAGTTATTTTCGCGGTATTACCTTTTGGATTCATAACGAATTATCCCTTTCTTTCATACATACAAACACATATATAATAATAATAATAATAATAATAATAATAATAATAATAATAATAATAATAATAATAATAATAATAATAATAATCCAATTCACTTCCCTCTGGTTTGATCCTCTGAAGAATCCAGTGTTTCGAAAGAAAGAGATGAAGAACAAGAAACCATTGAAGCTCTCCGTTCCTTCCCAAGTAAATCAAATCACTTCTGTCTCGTAAGTTGTTTTCTTTTCTTCATTCTATTTAAGTTTTGGATCAAAAATTCCATTTTCATTAAGTAAAAATGGGTTCTTGAATCAAATTTAATGACTTCATTAGTTTCTTTTTAATGTAATATATCTTCAGGACTGCCACATTTCAAGATGGTGAATTGCATCCCATTTCCAAGGAAAAAGAATCTCCGGTAGGTTTCTTTAAACTAATCTTTGCGATCATTTTTATGTTTTGTTGCAAGGTTTTTTTTTTATTTATGTCGGATTTTTAATCTAGTAACTTTCATGTCTGTTTTCAGAATTATATTGAACAGTCGGAGGTTGATTTCGAATTCTCATTGGAAGACCTCGAGGCCGTCAAAGTGGTCGGGAAGGGCAGCGGAGGTGTAGTACAACTTGTTCGACATAAATGGCGTGGAAATTCATTTGCCTTGAAGGAAATTTCTATGCAAATGAACAGATCAGAAGAGATCCAGAAGCAAATTCTGCAGGAGCTTAGAATACACCAAGCGTTACAATGTTCACATGTTGTGGGTTTCTACCATTCTTTTCATCGCAGCCGATCCATATATCTCGTGCTAGAATACATGGACCGTGGATCTCTGGCCGATGTTCTCAGACAAGTTAAAACGATCCTCGAACCGTATCTTGCAGTCGTGTGTAAGCAGGTATATAAACGGCTAAGCGAATATCATTACGGTAACTGAACAAGTTTCATTTCGATTCATGTATCTTTTCGTTTACAGGTTCTGCAAGGGCTTGTGTATTTGCATAATGAGAAGCACGTCATACACCGAGACATAAAACCATCCAACCTACTGGTGAACAGAAAAGGGGAAGTGAAGATCACTGATTTCGGTGTCAGTGCAACACTAGTTAGCCCCAAGGGGCAGAGAGATACATTGGTTGGGACTTACAGCTACATGTCGGTAAGTGGCATTTCCAGTTTCCGATTTCCACACCATTTCGAATCACTTTGTTTTTAATTCTACAATTCCCATTTGTAGCCTGAGAGAATTAGTGGGAGCACTTACGACTGCACCAGTGATGTTTGGAGTTTAGGCATGGTGGTGCTCGAGTGTGCTATCGGACGTTACCCGTATATGCAATCCGAAGACGGGGGAAGTTGTCCCGACTTTTACGAGCTTTGGGAGGCCATTGTGCAAAATCCTCCACCAAGTGCTCCACCAGATCAATTCTCTCCAGAGTTCTGTTCATTTGTATCAGCCTGGTAAACATTTATACCTTCATTAAACATCATTTTATGTTCATTGACAGTATTTGTTTTGACTGAAAGTGGTCCTATTCAATGTTTAGCTTACAGAAGGAAACTGAAAAGAGAACATCATCTGTGGACCTGTTGGTAAGTTCCCCATGGTTTTTTACCACAATGTTCTTTGTCAATATAACCTCCAAATCCATGATTGGAACATGTTTTGTTGTTTTGCAGTCTCACCCCTTCATTAAAAAGTTCGAAGACAAAGACATAGACCTTGGGATTTTGGTTGGTAGTTTGGAATCTCCTATGAATTTCCCAAGATGATCTTGGCCTTTCATTTGTACATGATTTGATTTTTTTGTAAGAATTAACCAGAATCAGTTGCAACATATGGAGTATTCTTTCTCAATTTTATGAATTGTCGGTAATATGATAAGGTTTGTTTATTTTCTGAAGAATGTGTAAAAAAGTTTTGAGAAAATCTAAAATGATAAGGTGGAAAGACGACGAGATGAGTCTAACGACGTCAAAATAAATAATTAGTATCGATTAGATAAATATATCAATGGATTAAAAAAATCTATACTTTAAATATATCGTGGAAGAATTATTACTTTCGAAACAAATTCGTTATGATTGATGTAGTCAATGAACTGAACGTTGTTTCTCAAAATTAATACAATTATTCAAAAATATATAAGACAATAATATTTTTTATGACGTCTAAAAATAAGAGAAATTATTAAGTGTTGAAGAAGATAATGATGAGAAGAAAAAAATGTTAAGTGAGTATAAAAATATATAGAATAATATGTCAAATAAATTAATGATCCGGAGAAAATAAAATAAAATTTGAAAAATTTAATAGGAAATTTAATTTTTTTATAGTTTAAGCAAAACAAGACGGACCTTAAATTTAATGACTATTAGAATTGTTTATTCTTTATATAAATTTTAATTAAAAATTATTACTTAAAGAGTTAAACATAAAATTAAGGATGAGTATTCAATTTGGACATGATGAGTTTTGACTTAACTTTATATGATTAAAGTATTTAAAAAAAATCATGTTCAAGTCGAATTATGGTTAAAAATACGTTACCTAACCCCGTGAATAATGATACAATTAACCTTAATATAAAGAAATAATTGTTATGATACTCATATCTTTATATTTTTCAATTAGGCTCATATTTTACCTAATAAGTCAACAGCGAATTTTTACCAAAAAATTGGGTCAAGTTTCGAATTGGGTGGAACTTCCCTAAATTCCAGTTGAAGGACATGTATAAAGATATCATACTTGAGTCGAGTTCAAATAAACCAAAACTCGATTTGATTCAACCCATGAACATCTCTACACAAAACTAATAGATTTATATAAAGATATTTTATTATTCCATCCACGGTCATTTGCATACGAATATTTTTATTCAAACACATTGTGGATGATAAAATCTATTTAATATATATATATATATATATATATATATATATATATTAAGGTAAATGTAGATTGCTAGCCCAACTTATTGACGAGATTTGCCTACACCCGAGCTGATTGAAGCAGGAGACTTTGCCGACGTTCTCTGCAATTGAATGTTGTAAGAGAAATAGCAAGTTAAAACCAGGTCTCTGTCTTCCAACATCTTAACGAACATTGCAAAACAACACAATGTCATGATATGATTGGGTAAGAGAAGCCATTAAACAGAGTGAAATAGAGAAAGAGAGGCAGTATTCCCTATTCATTTTATTAATAAGGCCTGTAATATCTCAAACGAGAGCAGGTTATATGTACAAGAGATAGCTGTTACGAGTCGGTTCGAAAACGGTAAACTAACAGAAATCCTAACCGCTTTAACTAATTACGGACAGCTTTACCAATGGTGCAGCACAATAAGTAAATAACAACCTAGCAGACCATACTATCTGCACTCATTGAAGCCACAAGAAAAACAATACTAAGAATACCTATATTCATAACACACAAGCCCCTGCATAACCTGAAAACACAAAAAATGGTAGCAAACACATGTGAACATTGTAACGCTTGGTGTATTCTTGTCTTGCAAATCCCTTCTTCGGTCTGTCCATTTGTATCGAAATTAACTTCAAGGCCAACAAATTTCCACAGCCATTTATGTTGATGAACTTGTACTACACCCCTTCCCGATAACATTGATGGCCTTCCGATGAGAATTCGAAATCAGCCTTGACTGTTCAAAATAATTCAAAAATAGTCATGAAATTTTAAAGACCTTGCAACAAAGTATAAAAAAGGATCCCAAAGATTAGTTTAAAGAAACTTACCAGAGATTCTTTTTCCTCGGAAATGTGATATAATTCACCATCTTGAAATGTGGCCTTCCTGAAGATATTATATTGAAAAGAAACCAATGAAGCCATGAAATTTGATTGAAGAACCCATTTTTACTGAATGAAAATGGAATCTTTGATCCAAAAATTACGTAAAATGATGAAAAGAAAACAACTTACAAGATGGAAATGATTGAGAAGGAAGAGAGAGCTTCAATGGTTTCTTCTTCCTTTTCTGTGCAAATCAACAGACCAGAAGAGACTCAAAAGCAAATTCTGCAGGAGCTTACAACACACCAAGCGTTGTATCTATGGCCGATGTGTACCTTGTATATATAGAGAGATAAATACGTGGGAAGGAACGGAGAGCTTCAATGGTTCCTTGTTCTTCATCTTTTTCTTTTGAAACACTGGACTCTTTAGAGGTAGAATTCGTTATGAATCCAAATGATAATACCGATAAAATAATTAAAGCAATTTAACTTTTAATTAATTTATATAAAAATAAAATACGAGATGAATTGAATTGAAGACCCGGGATAAGTACAATAAAAAAATAAGGTTTAATACATTATTGATCTCTATATATAAAACGTCCACATCGACGAGAGATCCAGGGTCCGTGTATTCTAGCACGAGAAACAACGCTTGGTGTGTTGTTAGCTCCTGCACAATTTGCTTGCGAATCTCTTCTGGTCTGTTGATTTGCACAGAAAAAGATGAAGAAGCCATTGAAGCTCTCTGTTCCATCTTGTAAGTTGTTTTCTTTTCTTCATTTTGCGTGAGTTTCGGATCAAAGATTCCGTTTTCATTCAGTAAAAATGGGTTCTTGAATCAAATTCCATTGCTTCTTTTTAATGTAATAACTTCAGGACTGCCGCATTTCATGATGGTCAAGGAAAAAAGAATCCCCGGTAAGTTTCTTTGAACTAATCTTTGGGATCTTTTTTATGCTTTGTTGCAATGTTTTCGAACAGTCAAGGATGTCATCGGAAGACCATCAATGTTATCGGGAAGCGGTGAAGTACAAGTTGATCAATATAAATGGCATGGAAATTTGTTGGCCTCGAAGATAATTTCGATGCAAATGGACAGACCAAAGAAGGGATTTGTAAGCCAATTGTGCAGGAGCTAGCCAAGAATACGCCAACCATTACAATGTTGTGGTTTACTACCTTTCTTTTTCTTGGGCTAGAATACATGTCTGGCCGATGTGCTCAGACAAGTTAAAAATAAACCTCGAACCGGATCTTGCAGTCGTTGGTTGCATCTTTGTATTTTCAGGTTCTGCAGGGGCTTGTGTGTTATGGATATAGGTAGTCTTAGTATTGTTTGTTGTGGTTTCAATGAGTGCAGATAGCGTCGTCTGCTAGGTATTGATTTTTGTGCTGCACCATTAGTAAAGCTGTTAGATTACGGTTCTTGAACCGACTCGTAGCAACTCTCTCTTGTACATATAATCTGGTCTCATTTGAGATATTACAGGCCTTATTAATAAAATCAATAGAGAGTACCGCCTCTCTTTCTCTACTTCACTCTGTTCAATGGCTTCTCCTGCCATATCATGACATGGCATCGGAGCTTAGGTTGCGATTATTTCTTTTGTTGCCGTTGTTATTGCAGTAGCTGTTCGTGAAGTATCTTCTGCCGGAGCCGAGGAGATTCGGAAGTCGAAACTTCACTCGATCAGTCTGTTTGATCGTCAACTTTCTATCATCAAATGTTCACATAAATCCATCAATGCATGGATCGCATACCTCTCTTGTTGGTCCTCATAATGTTCATCATCTATGTAATATCCCAAAATATGAGTTAGTGACTAAATCATAAAACTTCAGAGTTTGGTGATTTAAGTGGGATATTTGTATAGTCCGATGATTTGTTCGGAAATATTTCCTGAAAGTTTTTAGTAATTATCCAAAGAATTAAAAGGCAAAATGGTCATTTAACCATTAAATGATTAATTTGTATTATGTTGAGGATATATACGGGGAAAGGGATAAGAAGAATATATCTTCTTTTCCTCTTTTTCTTCCATACGAGAGAAAGCCATAGCAAAGGTAAGGGTTTTCTGATTTGTTGGTTATTTGTTAAATTAAAGGTTAGGTTTTGATCATTAGATGATAACTAAGCTTAAGGAAAGCTTAAGTTGTCTTATAATCAAAAGATGAAGAAGTTATAAGAGATTTAAGAAAATGAATTTTTATATGAAATCTTGAAATAGAGTTGATAAGTTGAATTTGAAGTTAAATTTGACTTGTCATCATGCTAATTAAGGAATATGAAGTGTTAAAATTGTATTTAGAACATATTGAAATTTGAGTATGATTCTTGAATTTTATATGAAGAATAGGATTTTGAAGTTATAGATGATTTTCATGGATATAAGTTGGTTTAAGTAATGGTAGTTGAGTTTAATGACATGATAGGGGTTTAAAATAGAAGAATTAAGTGAAAATTGATGATTTTCGGGCTTAAAATACAATTTCTGGGCATAGGGAACCGATACCCTATGAAGGGGAATCGATTCCCCTTCTAGAACAAGAAAATTTTCAGTATGTCCAGGGGGTATCGATTCCCCCCTAAAGGAAAAATGAAATTGGCTTCAATAATCTGGCTTAAGTTGTTAACATCAAGTTTAAGGTTTAGGCTTCTGATAGTTGTTTTGAAATGTTATATTTATGTAGATATTGAGCCTAAACAAGTTCCAGAATAATCAAAGGATTATAATCGAATCAAAGCAAGGCTAAGGTGAGTGCAATTTTAATTGTACTTATATTATTGAACATTGGCTTGCGATGAGCTAGTGATGGAGTTACTATGGTAAAAAGTGACTCTTAAAATGTTAATTGATTTGTGATTCTTATATATGCATGAATACATGAAATGGGTATAGGTTATTATATATGTTATATGATATGTATAGACATAAGAGCATGAAACATAAGATATATGATATGATATACATGATTATATGCATATGTGATATATGCTATGAGACATGA